CATACACGGCTAATGGGTTGCCGACCGTGGCAGTAGGTCTTCAGGGCAGGGTCACTACGGTCGCGCTCCTTGATACAGGAGCGACAGACGTGTTCGTGTCCAGTACTTTATACCGTCGGTTGAAGGCAGAGTCGCCAGGCCTGGAGCTGAAGCAGGGTGACATATCAGTGAAATTGCTCGATGGAGGAGCAGTGAAGATCCAAGGTGTGCTGGAAGCTTAAGCCGTTGGGTTTGGTGATCAGACTAGGACAGTCGAGGCCTACGTCTTAGGCTCTGCTCACTGGGAGTTGGTTCTACCACGATGGGTACTGGGTAACTGTGTTTGGGTGATGGCTGGTAACGACTACCTACTCTTCGATGAGGTTGAGGTCAACCCTCACGGGGGAGTGCAGGAGGCGAGGGAGATAGGCGCTAATGCAGTCGAGAGAGACCGATCTCTCCCGACACGAAGAGTGTGGCCAGCTGTCGTGAAGGTCCCGTGGATTGATGATCGCAGACCTAAGCAGAATTATGATGCCATCAGAGGCCGAGATTTGAAGATCACACAGAGGCTGGCCAAGAGACCTGAAGAGTTAGCAGCGTATGAAGCGGCCGTGGACGAGCTCTTGAAGTCCGGGGCGGTCGAGGAACTCCCACTGGGGGAGGACCCGAGGAAGTGGGCCTACCACTATATGTGTGGGGTTCCGGTCTTCGCCAATCAGCGAAAGTCCACTCGCTGTCGTATCTGCATCGACGCTCGAGAGCTTAACAACTTCACGAATAAAGCAGGGGACGAGGCGGCCGCGGACATGGACCTACAGTCACGGATTCTAGAGTGGCGAGCCTCAAAGAGAGTTGATTGTGAGGACCTCAAGAAGGCCTTCTGGTCGGTTCACATCGATGAATCGGATGTGAAGTGGTTGGGGATGTGCGTCGGGTCGAGGATCATAAGGTGGATCCATGTCCCTTTCGGGACGAATTGGTCCCCTTGGGCCCTCTCCTCGGTCTTGGGAAAGATCCTCAAACAGATCGGGGGGACGGACGGTGCCGAAGCTATCTCCTTCTATGTCGACGATGTCCTTCTGACGCAGACGGTCTGCGAGGGGACAGTTGCTCTGAGGTGTCGAAGATTCGTCGGGAGGTGGTTCCCGCATTAGAAGAGCGGGGGTTCGAGGTCCACCAGGACAAGCGAATGTCCAATCTCGACACGGGTGAAGACTGTATAGGTCGAGGGGTATCTAAGGAGAAGATTCTCAGTGAGAAGTTCAGAACAGGAGGTTGGCTCGGTTACGACTGGCTCTGTGGCGAGCGAATTGATGTTATCGATGTGCGGCTGCGACAGATAGAATTGGCGAAGGAATCCAAGGTCACGGAGTCTGCCCTGAGATCAGCATTTGGCAAGTTCTTCGACCCCATGGGTCTTTTCGCGGAAGTGTCCTTGGAGCTCAGATGGGCGGCTCGGCTGGCTCATGAGAGACTGAAGCAGAGGAGGAAGGACTTCGGAGATGGTACGGACATTGTGGACGAGGAGACGGCATCTATTATATTGAGTACCATTACTGCATGTAACTCATTCCTGCAATCTGATCGTATTCTTCCCCCTCGCTATCTTGATGTGTCTACTTTATTCGTCTTCGTCGATGCCTCTGAGGCCTGCATTGCTATTGATATTCGAGTCGGCTCGGGTACGCGTCTCTTCGCTAAGTTCAGTGTGACTCCGGGAGGCACGATGCCCAGGAGAGAATTGGAAGCAATGCGCCTCGGCGTTGAGCAATTGTATAGCATTGTTGTGGCATTGAGATCCAAAGTCACGAGGTCTGTCATCCTCGGTGATAGTAGTATTACATTATTCCGTATGAGAGCGGTCTTGTCTGGCCACGGCGGCCGTGGCACGGCCAGAAGATGTGCTCACGATTACCTAAGCCAGAGCTTACTAGATTACTCGCAATTAAGTCTACATGTTCTGATATTATTGAATGCAATCCTAATATTGATTTGCAATTTCGTCATATCCCTTCTCAATACAATGTTTCTGATCGGTTGACGAGACCGCTTGGCACACCATTGAGAGATGATTCCCCTTCGTGGGAACAAGTAATTCAAGTTGTTGATGCTGACTCGATTGTCTCCTTTGATAGATCAGTCATAGCTACTTCGGACGGTCCCGATGAGATAGCCTCCGAGGGAGAGACGAGTGAGGGTGAAGGCCAAGAAGAGTTATCGGGAGAGCAGTGTGAGTGTCTCGTTGGCCAGTAAGAGGATGTAGAGCGAGATTGGTTTGAAATATTCGCGGATAGAGTGGGGAAGGCTCAATTAAGTGACGACTCCTGTGTGTTGGTTAGCTCTGAGTTACGAGCGAATTCGAAAGGGAAATACTCTACACACTATCGCCTGGAGGAGAAGACGGGTATGCTGCTATGTAGACGATGGGATGCCTCTGAGAAGGAAGTCGAGTGGATTGAGTACATCCCGGCCAACCGTCGTGATCTCCAGTTAGAGGTTGTTCATAAGTTCCACCACACTTTCCTCCACCCTGGGATAGGGAGGACTGTGAGGTTGATTCGTAAATTCTGTTGGTGGAAAGGTATCCACCAGAGAGTGAGGTCATTTGTCCTCAGCTGTGATGCTTGTTGTCGAGCCAAAGAAGGTCGTCTTTTGAACAAGTGTTTACCGAGTGTTAGAGATTTCGTACCTCTGGTGTGGGGTATCGCTGGCTTAGATGTGTGGGGCCCAATTCGGCTGGGTTCAAATGGTGATAACGAGGAAAAGGTCTGGGTATTAACTTGCTCCGATTACATCAGCCACTTCTTGGTTACGAAGGTGTTGACGAGCTGTTCGGCAGAAGACATTGTGACTGGTGTCAGTGAAATTATGGCCGAGAACGGCGTGTTCCGCGTATGCGTGACAGACCAGGCCCAGTACTTTGTCTCCAAGAGATTCAGAGAGTATCTAGCCAGCAGGAGTGTTGTTCACTGTGTCACGGAGGCATATGATGAAGAGCGACGAGGTTGGTATGAACGAAGCCACAAGGAGCTTACGGTGACTTTAAGGGCTATGGTTAGTGAAGGTCAGGCTATGGATTCGATCAATCAAGTGCGGCAGCGATTAGCTTTGTGTACGTTTGTTCACAACGCTATCCCATATGATGATAGCAGTGATCTAGCCCCATGGGCGGTGCATCGCTCGACGGCCGATGCCTGCACTCTTTACAATGATCGTCTTGGTCGAGAAGAGGTATGTCAGTGGCTTGGTTCTGGGTTGGAATTTGATGACCTCACAGAGGGCCTTCAGGGGATCTCAGATTATTATCGAGCCCAATACGGTAAGTCGGTTGAGTCGTTGAGACGATTGTGGTCGGCTCGGAAGGCTGAAGTTCGTCGACGACTAGCAGATCGGCGGGATCCTGCAGGTGGAAGTCCGGTAGCGGTGAATGATATAGTCTATCGCCGGAATTACGGGGTCGATAAATTAACCGATTTGTATACAGGGCCATATCGAGTGGAGGCGGTGAGAGGTTCGGGTCTCGGAGGAATAGCCTAAACAGTCTGTAGAAAAAAGCGGGCCGAAGGCCCGCGTAGAACCCTCCTAACTAACCTCCTAGGGGTTTGCCCACGTTCAGCCTCAAAGTGCTCACGTTCAGGCCGCCTAGCAACTAAATGTCCGTGGAGGCAGTAAGATTCCTCCAGATACCTGCCGTTACGGCAGGTATCTGGAGGAATCTTACGGCAGTGCCGTACCAGACTGGTGTACTGGTACTACCAGTACACCAGTATAGCTGCTGTAGCTGGCGACTGCTGATGTTCGTCCTCAGGCGCTCTACTACTCATACCCGGCGGGTATTACCCGCTTGCATCTGTAGCGTCGGCCGGCTCAAACCCCGGAATAACTGGTGGCAACTCAACCCCTCCGCCCCTTGGAGCTGGGGTCTCAAATAGGTTGTGTGAGTTAGGCATCAGAAGATGGGATATGAGAGGCTATACAGAGAAATGTAGTGTAGTCGACGTACTGTATGTCGCAGTCTGTAGTCGACGTACTGTATGTCGCCTCAGGCGACTTAAGCTTTGGGTCCCGAAGCTCGGCTCCCTAAGGCCGGATCGAGCCAGACGATGGGGGCGGGTGGGTTGTTCGAATGCCCCCCCCCACGGTCACATAGCTCGACAACAGGGACCACCAAGGCTGGTCCTGGACCTCGAGTTGGCTTCGTAAGCCGTGAAACACCCTGCTGTTAGCCTACCGAACCCAAGCGACTAATGCGGAGGCCAGTTGAAGAAGCCAGACCGCTTTAGGCCTAGGCCCAGTTCGCTGAATAAGACAGAATCTGTCTTATTCAGCAGAATCTGCCGATTCTTAATCTGTCTAACAGATTAAGATTATTTGTTGTTTGGCATGACTGGAGGTAACATGTTCTGTGATAGATCGATTCCAGAAAACTGAGCTCAGAATCTTACAAAGCTCACCCATTATGGAGTTTAGTGGTGAAACGGCCCTGCCGAAATGGCTGGATCTCGCTCGCCGACTATGTGTATTAGTATTACACAAATTTCATGCAGTTGATGAAGTGAAACTTCGTCGAGAATTTGGTGTTACGGAGCAGAGTTAGTTATCCGATATAATAATATATAGATTACACCTCAGACTTTCTGTGATGCCGTTGCATCTATGCTCAATGGTGGCAGAAGTCGAAACCTTAACATCGCTCTCGCAGGACCTTCAGTCTGTAACAAGGCGTTCCTAGCTAAACATCTAAGTGATATCTACCGTGTAGCCGAGTTCTGCCAGCTATCCTCTAGCGGTCCTGATCGAGAACCGGCTAGAAGTCATCGTCATTGACGACTATCGGGTGTACCTAAACCAAACAGGTTTCGGCATTTCGGACGGCCTGTGCTTACTGGAAGGAAAGGTGCCACTTGTTGTGCCAGTACCAAAAACGAGCAGTGAGGCCGACGAGATCCACTGGGATGACGCGCCAATTGTAGTAACGGTCCCTGGTTTCTTCTTGTGCCGTCACTGGTCACATGAGGAGCATCGAATGCTAAATGAACGGTTTCGATGGTTTCAATTTGATTGCCCTTTGCCGAGGGAGAGCAGGAGGGATCTACTCGCTTGTGGTCGTTGTTTCGCTATATTTATTTCATCCAACACGACTCTATTCTGAAATATTGAACTATCGACTCCTAGAGGCTGTCTGTCATCTATAAGAGACTCCTTCTTTGCTAGTCTCTTGTCCTGTGTTCAGGGAGCGAAACACGCCTCATCGTAGTTTATAAGTTATTTTCCCTTGATATGTCAAGTTGACATTGTCAACAGCATCGTCCAAGAATCCCGCTCACGCGAAATCGCCCACTGCAGTCAAACGCAAAAGTAGTGTGGTTGGGGAACTTAGCTGGTGCGCTACTGTTAGTAGCTGCCTCCCCCCTCCTCCTCCCCAATGTTGGGTGGACATGAGGATATTGTGAGACCTCATGCTCTGATCTGAAGGGGAGGGGTAGGGGGGCGACTCGGTGAGTCAAGAGTTTTGATTTTGCCTGGCGTTTGGCGAGAGAGAAAATGAACTCGAGGCACGGCCTCGCTAACTATATCTGATATAGTCTGATATAGACTATAGAGTCTATATCACACGAAGTCAAGAGTCTGATATAGTATATCAGCAGTCCAGTTCATCATTAAACTGCTACCATACCCTTTGAGGGGTTCACTCAACGCATACCTTATACAATGCCCACGAAACCGTGATGACACAACCGCACGCGCTCCCTCACTCAGCCCAGGCTCGCTTCGACACACATCAGGGTTGTGCTGGAATCCTAGGCTCTCTCCTGCACTGGCTCTTTCACTCTCCGTACCTAAACGACACTCCTCAGTCTGGACCTCTCAATGTACGAATATAGGGGAGTTACAGAGCTCATTAGAACTTCAGCGCGGTGGAGGAAAATCAGAACGGTAGACGAAAATCTGAGGGCTTCAAGTCTGCCCGATGCCCGCCCCAGCTGTAGAGAACTCCATGGGAGACAGCGCAGGATCGCTGTGTGAATTTACATGCGGCAGAGAAAAAAAGAACTCAAAGATCTCAATCAAAAGAATTCCTAATCCGCGGACATATAGGCCTCAATAGCTAAATAGTAATCTCTCAATGGAGCGAATTATTCGCCGAGTAGCGTCCTTCTGTAGAACTATGTTACGAGAAGGCCGAATCCAACTTAAGGTCTTCTAACGGAGCTGTCATAAAATGACCAACGATGATTGGAGAACATTTGGCGACCGTGGGTTGCAAAGAAGACCGCAAAATAATGGAACTCGTTTACTAGTAGGGTCGAACTCAAAATAACTACCAATCAACATACGATCGGGGAAACCCCAGTCATCCTTTCGGCCTTCGGTGATAATGAGTAGACAGATACCATTGTGATTCACGGCATGGTTCGTGAATGTCATCGTGAATAGGGTTGAGCCCTGAGGGCCCAAGGCAAACGTCAACAGTGGCAACTGGCTCATGTACTGGCAAGGGTGAGGATGGTGAGGCAGAGTGTGATGATAGGCGATAGAGAATTCGTACAGTAACGCAACGATCGATCGCTCCGACCCGTAGTTGATCATGCGCCGTCAAAGCCATATTGGGGTGTAGTATCTTAGCCTCCCTAACCCAAGTCTTACGTCTAGTTGATTCACCGCCCTTGTCGGTACTCTTCAACTAGACTCCTCATTCAAAGCTATCGACGATGGACTCACATGCAACTCAAATCCGCTTTCTCTGTAACGGCCCGTATCCATATCCTGGTCATACGGACAAAATAGACCGAAGACTAAGAAAATAAGAAAAAAAATAAAAATACGGGCAACGAGCTCCCAAAGCATGAACTGCGCGATATGCTTCACAGATCAGACTCAAACATCGGACGCGTCGCGGACCTTTGTTGTAATTTGATTGCTGATGATGAATCATCCTGGATGACATGTATATGAGATGAAAAGATAGACCGGATTAACCAGGATTCATCGCCTGATAAGTGACAACTGAAGTAGAATCGTCACCTTTTAGGTAGTGATGTGTATCGACTACACATCTGCCTCAATGCGATAAACTTGGTGCTCCAAACCAGTTTTCCCCACTGCGAGTTTGATCATCCCGTGGTCACCCCATTCCTCATTCCAAGCATTCACTGCTAACCAATACTCTTGGCCAGACTCGACTCCCCAACCTATGAGTTTAAGAGTATGAGCCGCCAACATTTGACCCGTTTTGTGCACGTAGACACAGA